AATAGATATATGTATATGTATATATTTATGTATATATATATATACTCACACGCACGTACATAACAAACACACACACACACACACACATATATATATTATATACTTATATTTAAGAAGGATATTTATTTGCTTGCGTATCCATACATGTCTACCCCTTTCACCACACAGGAATTTATCCTGCACACCCCGAATGATAAGGCTGCGAAGAACTGGATTTCTCAGGGCTACACAGCCGAGATGGGTGTAGTCATTGCGAACTTGCGCATTGATGGCAAGTCGTACGGTCCCCATCCCTTCTACATGAACATGCGTGATGGCGAAGGAGGTACGGATGAGCATGTGTTTGTGGGTGTACGCACGGGATGTACGTGCGAGGGCGTTGTTGTAGGTATACGTACGTGGTTAACTCGTGATTGCTCACGAAAGTGTGCGCGAATGTCTGACACACTGATTGCTACTCCGAACTGTGATGCCAAGCCATACCTATCATGCATTCTATAGGTAGATGGTGACTGGATATGTGCGCCCAATAGTATGCCATGATAATTACATGTACACGTATATGGGCATTTGTGTTTTACGGGTGGGGAGATGTATAAGGAAAGTCATGTCCTGCTATTTCTATGTATATGCAAGAATCAATCTGTATAGTTTATGTATGGGTACATACATAGGCATTAATATACTTATAGTTGCACAAAAGCACAAGAACATTCCAAATGCAAACACGTATGCGTATATGGAACTTGATATAGGAGATCACTACATAACTGGTGGTGGGCATTTGTTGTAATGTCATTCCGTGGATAGACAACCTGCCGATCACCCCGTTTTCGCTCAGAACAAGTTCGGTCCTCATCAACTATAGTAAAGTATACACACACAAATCGTTCCCCTTCAGGTATATGTCTCTATTCGCTACCTATCGTCATAGACACCTCCCCTCCCCCTCTCTTGTCCACAACTTCCTAACCTTTAGATTCACGATGAAACTCAACAATCGTACTTGTCACACACACGCACACAAACATATATATTTATATATATACAAATACAAAACAAAGACAAACCCGCATACACACACAGGTAAGCTACTCCCCGGCATCCGCATCGTCGACATGGGCATCAAGACCATTGCCAACGATCTCGACAATGCACGCGTGTGGTTCGATAAGGTACGTCTCCCCAAGGACGCTCTGCTGAACCGATTCTGTGATATCAAAGACAACGAGTACGTGCAAGTGGGAACAGAGCGCATGCGTATCGAGGTTATTGGACAGCGCTTGCTGACTGGCCGTCTGGCTATCGCCGAGGCTGCGTTGTACAGTGCTAAAGTGTTGCATATGAAGACTGGTAAGGTTTGTTTCCAAGAATTTTTTATGGATGTGTGTATATACATTTATGTATGAATATAGCTGTGTGTGTCTATTTATGAATGCGTGCTATGTGGAGCTATGTG